GTTCAGGGATGTATAACGTGGTGATACTGAGGATGATGTCGAGTCGGAATTAAGTCGTCGAATCGATTATCGTCAGCCAAAAACAAATAAACAAAGTGGGATATTATAACAGGCCTTCCCAGGCGAAGAGGTGACTTTGTTGTAATGTAACCGTGTGGAGTGAACCACTGCTTGCTGTGATGAATACGGAGTCAAACGGAAACTGCTGTATTGAGCGAACAACAAAGTGAGGAAGGAAGAGAGTTCCAGAGGAACGAGAGCTTAAATACAGGATGCCAGCAGCGCGCACGTGACACATACTACATGCTGCGCTACACGTGATCAACCCCTAGTTCCTCCAACTCCGTAACAAGAATAGTATTTAGTAGTATTATTAGCTTACTAGGTAACGCTATTTATATTTATTTAAAATATATTACGCTTAAAAATATATACTAATATATAATTTAGTTACAAAAAGTATATATAGATATACTATAAATACTTAGTAGGGTTAGGATTATTAGCTACTAAGAGACTATTAGAGGAGCGTTTACTATCCTAGCGCGCGCTAGGCTTATAATCGTAATCTAAATAAGAGATATTAATTAGTATATACAATTTAAATGTTTTTAGAGCTTTTAAAAGCCTCTAAAGGCCCCTAGGATAGTAGGGTAGGGTAGTAGAAAAGTAAGGTTTAAATATAACAAATAAATAACTTATACTTACTCTTTAGAGTATAACTTTAACTTATTCTAATCCTAGCCGACTATAACGTTACTATTAGGCTAGGTAAACTTCTAAGGTATAATTATATAATTAAGGCTATTTAGAAGACGAAAAAAGGGCGTTCTATAACCGTAGTCGCGATTATAGTAGTATTATTATATAGGGGAAGAAGTAAAGGTATCGCGAGAGTACGTACTTAGAAGGGTGGTAAGGGATCACGTAATTTCCGAATTGGGCCTAGCGCGCGGCGCCCCGGTCTCAGCCCAGGTCTTAGTAAACAGTTTAGCCAGGGGGACTATTGACTAGCCCGGAGAATTAAATGCAGGGCTAAACCTTGGAACCGCCCAGGTCACGCACCTTCGCGTTAAGACCGCGTTGCTAAGGGGTAAAAGGATCCATAATAATCTTTTGGTGAATAATTTTAGATTACAGGAACTGTAGTTCTCTTGTGGTCTTTTGCAACACATCTCCAACTCCCTCAAACATTCCCCAAAAAAACTCATAATGCCTGGTTATGGCTTCCGGGAGGATCCTCCCCCTCCCCCGCTCTCCGAGAGCCAGAAAGCTGTCAAGCGCGATGTTCACACATGTCTCAGCAACATCAAGGGCAACGGAGATTTTGCCATATTCCAGGCGGTTGACACTCATCCATACCCCGGGCTTCATTTGAATGAAGGTGGCAACATCGGCCTCCCTCTCACAGAGCGTGATGCCCAAGTCATCATTGCAGCAAGTCATCAAGCCCCGTTCGGAAAAGGAGAACAAACAATAGTGGACCATGATGTGCGAAAAACCAGGGAACTTTCGGCCAACGCTTTCAGCCTCAGAAACCCGGCATGGCAACTATTTGTTGATTCCATCGTGTCCAAAGTCAGCATTGGTCTTGGGGTGGATGCATCCGGTAAAGGGGTTTCTGCTCAATTATACAAGTTGCTGCTCTATGATGAGGGTGCACTTTTCAAAGCCCACCAAGAGTAAGATGGAGAATGCCAGCCTTGAGAAAAATCCTAGTGCTAAATGCTCCAAGTTCCGAGAAAACTCCTGGTATGTTTGCTACACTCGTCATCGCTCTACCATCCAAGCATGAAGGGGGTGCAGTTAAGGTTACACACGCTGGCCAATCGAGAGTCTTCGAGACCTCGAAATTTTCGGAATACGAAGCATCGTATCTCGCATGGCATATATTCCCAAGCGCCTTCACGAATCTCTAAGTTCCTACTAAATCACCTTTCTCGTAGGTTTTCTGATGTCACCCACGAAATCCTTCCAGTAGAGTCGGGTTATCGATTGGTACACTCACGTACAACCTTGTTCATGAAACCCTGGACTCAAAAGAGCTTGCAGCAGGCTCAGATGTCTCTTTAGTCAAATTGAGAACCATATTTGACTCTTGGAAAGCCAGCCTGGAAGATTCAGCTAATCGCGCAATGCCCATTGCCACCTTATTTGAGCACCAATACACAGATGCCAGTCTACATTTTGACGGTCTAGAGGGCAAAGACAAGCGTGTGAGTTCTCTCCTACGTCAAGTTTGTGAAGAGTTTGGATTCTGCATGTATCTCGCAAACTTTGAGAAGAATATTGAAGGAGGCTGCGAGGATCATGACTACGTGGGCAATAGAGGCGTGCATGAAATAGATGATCTGATCGAAGAAAGAACGGAGCTTCTGAAAATCGTTGACCTTGATGGAACTCAGGTTGGGAAGAATTTGAAGTTCGATGATGAGTCCCATTTTGCGGAGCCGTTTAAGGATTTGGCACCCGATGGTGAGGACTATTCTGGACTTACTGGCAATGAAGGAGTCTCAACGACTCATTTTTATCGTCGAACGGTAAGGTGTGAATTCAAACTCTAAAGCACAATACTGAACCTCTCGACTTAGGTTGCGATAATTATGCCTCGGCGACACCGCATCGACTTTTTCCTTGGTAACTCAAACAAGCAGGATGAACTTTCTTCTATGTACGGCTCTACAACAGAAACACCGAGCATCGTCAAATGGGTGGACCAGATTTCACAAGAGCTATCCTGCAACATTAATGACGAGATTACGAAAGAGGATCTCAAGAAAATCAGTAATATTGTGATTGGCAAAATGAATGAATGGAAGACCAAGATTGCAGAAAATCCAGCTTACCACCGTCATCCGCCTCGCGCTCCCTATACCGACGAGATTCTGAGCCGCATCTTTACGGCGATCATCGAAGATCTGGACGACATAGAGCTCTTCACCGCAGCATTCAAATTATGGCCGGGAGTCCCTTCATCACGTCTTATGGTCCAACTTGGTGTTGCAATCGTGCGGTATAGTGGTACAGACTTCGACGTGTAAGTTTAACTCCAGGAATTGTGTTATCATGTCATAATGAAATGCGTAAATGATTCAAGTACTAATGATTATCGAAGGTTAAACTCCTTCTTTTCGAAGTTCACGAAGTTTCATGATCGATTTCTAATGGTATACTCCGTCAAAAGTGGAATCCAGCAAGCAATAAGAAAATTGGCAGCTCATAGCATTCCCACTTGTCACTGGATCGACTACGAGGCCGATCGTGCACTTTCCGACTCGCAGCTTGAGATTTCGAAAGATAGAGAGGCTCTTGTGGTTCTTGCAAAGCATCCACCTATACTTCCTGGCCCCGCAAATATAAACCCTGACCAGTATATCTTCAAGAGGTATATTTTGTTCCTTTTCCAAGATTCGCGGTAAAACACGTTCTGAGCTAACTATCTATAAGAATTCTCCCAGCAGTAAAAGCGAACATAGCGCATACACCCATGGTGATTGCTTTCCTCACTCGGCTACTCAAAGACGACCCCAAAGCAAATCTTCCTGAGCAGGTCACTCGCAATATCTTCCGAGATGTCATTTCAGATCTTGCTGAAAACTTCAGCTTGGGTTCACTGGAGCAGAAACGAGTAAAGCCTAACAAAGGATTTGTTTCCTACTATAGCATGTATTCTCGCCCAGAGAAGATTGTGGTCGAAGTAGATTCTCACAATAGTGAAAACATTGCCGTCTTGCTTTGCAGCTGTCTTGATCTAGGGCTCTTAACAGAGCTAGGCCAAATATGCAGAAAGATTGCGGCTGAAGCACAAACTGTTAACGTCGATCTTTTCGAATCGGTCTACATACCATTCCTCAAAACACTGTGCGTGATGCTGAAGGACGGTTCTGCGACACCAGAAACACAGACTCTGTTTCAGTCTGTCCTCAGTACCTACACCCACCGTTGGGTTAAACCTGAGCCAGAACCTCCTACCAATTGGATCCGTCCTAGGGTAGCTTGCCGTTGCGGAGACTGCTTAGGTCTGAACAGATTTCTTCAGAGCCCTAATGAAGAGGTCGGCAAGTTCCCTATGGCTGAAAAGCGACGTTTTCATATGACCAATGTACTCCAAAGCGTGGGAGGTTACAAACTCACGACATTAACTTCCGGCAGCCCTTATACTCTAGAGGTGACAAAGACGCTGTTCCAGTATGAGGAAGCTCATGAGGCATGGCTTGATCGATGCAACACTGCTAAGGAACAAGTTTTGACGATGGGTCGGAATTTCCGCGCCTTGCTTGGAGATAAATTTGACGCCATCACATTACTGAAGTACTGGGACCTGCCTGCCTTAGAACCACAGTCACAAAATTTGGGTCTTAATGCTTCGAATTCTGGGGGAGTGCCTCCTCCCACGAGACTACGAAAGGTTCCGAGTTCTGCTCAAGTTATTGTGCTAGATTAATTGCGTTAGGGCGATTAGAAAGAAGGATGGTTTTGTCATACATCTGTAAGATTACATCATCCTGAATATTACAACTGTTCTGGACCAGTTTATGCGATGTTGCAGGAAATTTGTTCCTTTATACAGCCTTGTACTATACCATTGTAAGAAGAAACTTGGGGCTTTTTGCATACGGAGTATGGGGTATCTTCTCAGAATTAATAGCTAGCTGTGTGGTTAGTACCAATACACAACTTTACCAAATAATACTCCAGCGTATATGTGAATTCAGCTGCGCTTTACTTTCCCAGCCTACTCTACAACTAAAACTAAAACACATCAAGGTTACTGGCGCTGGACCCCAAGTTTCTGCTCTTCTCAAAGAGCTTAGAGCGGGAAAGATTTTTTTACATCTTTCCTGATGCTTTGATTCAGTCGCAGCCTTTCAGGCTCAAGTTCAAATTTGAAGAATGTGGGTTAAGCTCTTTCTCCTCGGAAGAGATTGGGGAAACCTTTGGCGCTGATGATAAGAGCTGTGGAAGTAATTGAGTTAGATTGATTTGCTATGGTCATCTTGATGGTGAGTCGGTATTTTTCCTGTGCATTATAGAAAGGGGTTTTTTCTTGTGTTGCATGAGCGTCTTGTTTTTCAGCAACCCTTTCTGTATAGTAAATACTGTTGGAAGTTAGAAGTAGGTTTTATAGATGTTATTGTTTAGTTTCAAATCAGATACTTATGATTAGCTTTTAGTGGTCTGTTATATTATATAAGCGTGTCCTTTCTACACTTCTCCAATCAGTAGTCAGCTCAGGAGCTATTAATCAACACATAATAATAGTATAAATTGTTAACAATGGGAACTTATCTAATTTTGGTACACTTTCGCCATTCCCAAGCTGGATTCCTGCTTTTCACCTGCATTATCCGCTGATGGGAGGTGAGATGCGTATCAAAGAGTATTAAAGAGACAGGATATAAACATATCATATAATATCCACCTAGTTCATATCTAAATGACAATTGGTAGATAAAAAGTCTTTTTGGTATACTCGTTGATTTCTTAGTTTTCTTTTCTTCTTTTCTAAAATTTTCCTATTCCCGAAGATCTTTATGTACTAAAGAGGATATTCTGACTAGTAGGAGTCAATACGAAGCTTTTGAGCATTGAAAAGAATGTCACAAACTACCTAGGTATGGGGTGTCAGTCACGTGCAGAGCAACCACGTGATCCGCCCCAATTCCACTTGTATGGCAAAGTTTTTCTCGCATAATCCAAGCCCCTTAGAAGGTTTTCCACCTACTTTGACTACCATTCTGTACGCGATAAAGATATAATCGACTTAGAATTGTATTCTTAGTAAGTCCTGATTATTTTTATTCTGTTTTTGTTGTGTAATATTACAAGGTTACGTTAAAAGAAGCTGTTTTAAGGGGAACAAAATCCAACGTTTTTTACGTCCTCTTAATGGTCCTCTAATGGAGCCGTAGCGATACCCTTGAGCTTTTACTATATCGTCTAAGGAACCCCTATAACATTATGGTCTCGAATAATCTAATCTAGCAAACCAGGATATCTAAGAACAGTAATACCTCTTTCCAGTAACAACTAAAGAACAGATTTTTGAATTCGAAAGAAGAGGCTTTCGCACTATACTGATGTATGCCCGGGGGTTTGAAAAGACTTTGAAGGAGCTTAGTAGTATGAATGAGCAAGGAAAGGGGTTGCGCGCGAACCTTTCTTTCCTTAGTGGTTGAAGTGCTTAACAGGTAAAGATGTTTGGATTTCTTTTTGTCCTAGCTAATGTTAGAATTAAACTTGGTTTACCCATATCCTCGCTTTGTGAGGATTCTTTTTGTCCTTCGTGAGATTTCATGTTTTCGTGTTATAGAGGCATTGATTTATTAGTTCTCCGTAGTTGGTGTAGAAAGATCACGATCTGGGATTTCTGCAATGCTCCATCTATGATCTAAGCATTTCACAGGTAAACTCCGGTCCCCTCTGACAAAGTTTTAAACAGCCTGGTATATGAGATATCATAGACCCATTCTTAAAGAGACTATTATGTGCCGTCTCCTGACTCATGTTTTGTGGTTGTGAATTACATGTTTGTTGTGCATAGCTAGATCAAACAATGAACAAGGAACAAGGTGCTAAGGGACGAGTGACACATATCCCTACTCAACCCAAAAGTTCCCGCAGAGCCTATCTGGGGAGGTGAGGGATAAGGGTTCTCTAAACCTGAAACGAAACTAATTTCCTAGTTTCTCAAATACGAGATTTATTCCATGGGTTATGGTAAAGCTGCTATTACTCAGTATGAATAAGTAAACCATACTTAAGTAGGAAAGGAGTTAATTGAGTTTTTAGGCTTACTGCAAGGTTATGGTTGTGTTGTATTCTTGAACTTACTCCACTAGCACTCCACGATCAATGTCACCGCAAAAATAAATGCCATTTATCGACCACTCTACCTAGAATCACAGAACCCTTGGGACTCCATCTGTATTTTTCTTTCTATAGACTCTTAATTCCGGTCGCTCAACCACTTCGCTAGAATAATTGCACGTAATTTACCTGCTCAAATATTTGATTTGCTTCGTTTGCAAACAACTCCATAAACGTAACAATCTTAGAACCTCAGTCGACTGAATGAACAACGAATAGTCTTTTTGAAAATGCTTATAAAGACTTGACTCATGGAAATTAACCACGATCTCTATTATGGCAGAGAGTAAACAGTAAGAATGCTCTATTCAGCCCCTCACAGTTATACGAAAGCGTGGACCACATGATACGGCAACTTCTCAGTTACACGTAAGCATTGGAAAGCCCCCAATCGCATTCGTATCCGAGAAAAGCGAGCGGATGGTCTCCCGAGTAAAGGTTTATGTAGTAGATACTTCTAGCTCCTGTTGCCTAATCTCTAGTGTACAAGTGATCACCTAGAAAATGTACAACTGACATGCTCTATCCTTCCAACAAACTCACTGTATTGAGCTCCTTCCATGGGATCACCAGAGTGAGGGAATGCCAGTTTGTTTGTACCACTTTTCTCCTGGAAAAACTTAATCAAGATATCGACTTACATCATAGACTTCAAAAGTCCATATCAGATAGCCCCAGATAACCCAAACAAAACAAAATGATGTTTAAATAAAGCACGCGTCTGTATTCTTGGCCAAAATGCAAGTGAAGGAACTTTCGGGACAGGCGGCAAACCAAAATTCCCTCAACTTGATGTAACTTTACTCCCATCAGTATTCAACTGAACGTTACACCCACCATCTCAGAATTCAGCTTTCTGGGTTCCGCCACCAGCATCTGTTCTGCCAGCCACCCGAATCCTTCAATAATGAAAGAGAGAGTGAAAGAAACCCCACGAACAAGAACTCCATCCCCACCCCCTCCATTTCACATGCTTAGATTATCCTATCCTGCAGGCATATAACGTACAACACATACTCATGTATCGCGTATCATGCAAAACATATCAAGCGCCACTCCTTCCCTCCTCAGCCGAAAGGGTGTCGATCCTATGAATCTCTAAACCCCTACACCCCGGATTTTACAAGATCGAAAAAGATATTCAAGATCCCCACAATGTTCGCCTCGCTCCAAACTCCAGTTCAATAGTATAGATGAAGTGGGGGCAATAGGAGATTTCCAACTGCCGGCACTAATACCTTCGTCATGTTATCGAGAAGAAAAAAAGACAGCATAGATAACGCTACGACCTGTATAGGAAGGCAGCTACATACGTGACTCCTTCCTATAATTCACAGCTTATTGTCTCCCTACTACGTACTTCTCCATGTCTCCGGTGGGATCTATGAATCCATTCAAGTGAAAGTAAAATTCCCCGAATCCAAATTCCCATGCATATGCGATGATGGTCAGAAATCCAACTCCATCTGACCAATCCCAAAGGCTATATCGTCGACTGCACTTTTGTGACTTCATTTCCCGACATTCGAGAACTTTGACTGGTTCAATCTCAGTCAATACCCTTCGCGCCCAAAGAAGTTTTATTCTATAATCCCAGCCCGTCCCCTACATGAATGAACTAACAGGGATTTTGTGGCAGGGTGACGTTATTTGTAAGAGGGCTGTCAGCAGGCTGGAGATCTCGCATGTGGAGATACTCTGGTCATTTTATTAATTAAAATGAAATGACCCAGAAGAGACATCTAGATTTCCCCCTTTAGCTATTTTCATAATTTACTGGAAGAAAGGGGGGAGTATACACTTTACCCCTGTCTCAGTGAAAACCCAGATTTCTATGACGCTATTTCATTCCTGGTATCTTTTGAGAATACAGTAGTCCCTGTTACCTCGTCATAGGCTTCTTAGATGAAGAATTGGGGACTTACCGGTGCCTGTCTACCTCGCTTAGGGAAATTCATGAGCCTTGAATCCACTTACACCACCTTATGTAAAATTTTTAAATCATGCTCGATTACAGCAAGAAACAGACATTAGGCGGTCAGAACATCATGGTCGAGGCGGTGTATAAACGACCAATTTAGACTCAAATCAAACAAAAGGGGGTGAACCAAATCTCATAATTTTCATCTTCCAACATACCCTCGGACGCGACCACAACGGATCCGAAATTGTGAACAGAGAGAAAAAAGTCAAACATATGAGATTTTCATCTCTTTATCGCGCCGATACCTCCAAATCTCCTTATGCTGTGCTGAGAAAGATAGTTCCAGCTTACCCTATCAGTCCATTTTGACAGCCCAGGCCAGCCGAACTTCTAGTTGATGAATAAAGACGAGTTGATGATTGATCGACCCATGAACCCAAACTCAAACATCTGGTTATTGATAAGAATGATCTTATGATTGATCGGCCTTTGAACAATCTCGCCTGTAAAACATCAGAATGACGCTATTGCCTGATATCTAAGCTTTTTCAAGCTTTGATAATCTGTCAATATATATGATGCGAGAGAAAAACCATCCGAACCCAGCCACAACCTTATTCAATGCTATAATACTCCGCGAAACCTCGGGGAATTGTTCACCTCACAGAATAGGCAACCATACAATATCAATGTACCACGAACTACTTAGTCTACTTTGCATATCAAGTCAAATGAGTGTTTTGCAGAGCTGGAACAAATGCGGTTTGATAGACGAGAAAGCGAAAATCTCACGGACGGAAAACAAAACATCACAGACACTTACAATGCATACATAACTTTAAATAGCCGACCTTCGCTAACAACCTGCCTTGCTTAGACAATTTGCATAACATTCCTACCTTCATAACTCATATCATTTTCCAAGAAATCTAGATCTTCTCAGCCTCAAAAAGCAAGGAATGGGTCCTGTCTCCAGAAAACGGGGCGCCGGCATTCTGAAATCTGCCTACCGGGTCTCCGTACCCTACCAGGCAGATCAAACCCCTAGGAAATTAGACAAAATTGAGAGGGAATTCGTCATTAGCACTCTAAAACCTGGCATTATTGTGAACAAATGAAAGAATCGCATCGAAGCTCCGAAGCAAACAGGGAATTTCTGAACTGGAATTAAGATGGAGTTGGGAAAGCTGCTAGTGCTCGTGGCAAGAGACCTCCGAGTCCCGAGGCTCGGAGCAAAAGACGGGATTTGGTAGGGGGGACTGCTGCGTCAGGGTCTAGGTTGGCAGAAGATCTGACTTACGGCACTCGCCCCGGTGATGCGCAATTGTGGTAGGAAGAGGTTGTCCCAATCCAGTATTTACTGTACGTCCGTGGTCTATCGGCTAGGGTTCCGGCCTCGGTGTCGTTTGTTTGGTGATTTATTCGTTGGAGATGGGAAGGGGGGAAACGGGGGTATAATTTGTGTAGAAAACCACGCAGCCACGTACTTCGTAAAAGCCTGAGGTAAAGGATAAAAGAGGTAAAAATCGAAAGCTCTTTTGACACTGTTGCTAAGACGGGAAATGTGAAAAGGCAAGGATGGTTCGGGCCGATAGGTAGCACATATACCGTACTGAAAGGGCATCTTGTAAGAGATATTTTGGAAATCAATAATAATGTAGGTACACCTGCACTTCATCCCACCATCTTTTCTTACCAACGAGAAAATACCGCTTTTCTAATTCGCTTAAGGATGCGGTGTCCTGACTCGATCTGGCGCGTGGTGAACCATGACCCTTCCCTGGTCCGTTGACAGGGAAGTTTGCGGGGAAGCAGTTTCACGTGGCTACTGCAATTTCGTTATGACTAGCAATTAATATAATCTCGGTTTCTGTTAAAATATTCAGTCCTCCATATGCGGTTCCCCCTGCTCATTCTCTTTCGGACACGTTTTACCAGGAAAGACAACCGTTGATAGAAAGGATTGAAATTTTGGAAGTTTGGTACCGAGATTGGGGCCAAGAGATAACAAGTTTTGGCGCCCATCGACAGCATCAAGCCATCTTCAGTTTCCTTAATTAATGGCATCTAACCTCGTTATGGAAGGATCAAGAACTTGAAAATGATCTCTAACGTTTCGGGGATCTGGGAATCGGAGAGTGACTAGAGTTTCAAAATCAATAAAAGGGGAAGAGAAATGAAGCGAGAGATGAGGCTGTTCGAAGAGGGGTCGATGGGTTCTTGGAAAACAAGCAATGGCCCAATACGCTGAGACAGGATGCCCTCGCTAGTTGAAGGTCTTCAAGCTTTAATTCAAAAAGCTTCGCTCCGATATTCGATGATTGAACTTCATCCAGCGACTCGAGCGGGCCGTAGGAATGCAGGACCGTCGTGGGGAAAGCGTCAAATGTCTCGTCTTTGGTGTTTCTGTGGTGGTACAGCACAGTTCAGAACAGTAAACATTTCAGATAGTTGCAAGTAATTAACCTTAAGATTTCAGTTGTGGTTGCAGCGGCTACGTGAAGTTTGAATCAGCACATCCGGCAGGACAAGCCGTCAGCATATCGTCTGGTGTTCGGCGGGTAGCCGGGATTCAGGGCTGAACATTATACTGTACACATTATCTTGATTTTGGAAAACTTCACACCCATAACTTCACTACTGCCGGTGCTGGTTTGAAGGGCACTGCTTTAGACTCATGCACACCAGAGATGTCTATGTTGCGGGCCAGCGGTTGCGAAGTCGAAAGAGGAAGTCTTTGCGCGCCAATGGCAATTACTCGAATTCTCCCTCTTTGCTAGTACTGTCATAGTTCACGGTTTAGGATGATGATGATGATGGGGGGGAAATGAAGACCGTGTAATCTCAATCTTTTTTCTAACATCACTCTCCTTCCAAGCAGAGTGAAACCAGGCGCGAAGGCATCAAAACCAAGACATGCCGTGCATGTTCTTCTCGATGCAGCCGCCACTGGTTTTGAATAAAGTAGACTTTCGTTTTCGTGCGGCGCAACTGGTAATTGGCTTCATCCTCCAGTTGTGTTCTTCCTGTTTGGTCTGTGAGATAAGAATGAACATAGCAAGTCTTCACTTCTGGCCTTTTCTGGCCCCTTTTCTGCCTCCTCGTCCTTTGAGTGGGGTGTGTATCAATCGGTCCATACGTATAGAGTCCTGTCCAGAAGCGCAGTAGCTTCATTCCCTCTCGCCTTCTAGAAGGTGGTTCAACGATGGGGACCGGGCTCGAGGGGCTCGAGGGGCTCGCGGACGTCACCATGGAATCGGAGTCGAATGCAGCCACTTATCGTAGGAAATGCCTGCTCCGAGTTGCCAGCAGCCAAACGCCCTCATCTGGTGTTTGGTAGGGAACCCTCGAGTAGTCTCGGCTAGACCCGACCAGGAGACTCGAATTCGTCTGATTTTCCATTTGCTCACCAACCCCGGCAGTGCGTGCCCCGTTTCCCAATCCAACTCATCCATGGCGCGGGGATTCGTCCCATAACGGGAGGCTTTCCGTACCTGGTATTGCTGCTCGTCTCCATACGCCACTGTTCCATTGTTCCCGACGCTACAGACTACAGTACCGTATCGTCGCTCGACTAGCGGGATCTATGCAACTATGCAACTATGCAACTACGAAGTATGCAACTATGGGTCCCCACTCTCCTCCGATGCCTCTCCCATCACCGTTGCCATTTTCTGGTCTGAAGACCTCCGCCGCTGGAGGAGGCAGTGGTCACCGGCTCTTCTTCCTGCAGCAGAGGAGGACCAGACTGCCAGTCTTGACGAGACCCGACATCAGACCAAGCAAGCATTACCCAGCGCTTCCAGTCAGTCAGACTTCAGTCAGACTGGTGGTGGAGAAGCAATTTGAGTTGTCTGCAACCCCGCAAAGTGATCTTCAAGGCAAATGCAAATGCATTGCTGTCTGCCACTGCCACTGCCACTGCCACTGCCTATTGCCGCGGAGCCCAGACGTACTACTGTACCTACCATACACGCTCTTTGGCGATGCAGTGGACCTCAGGGAGAGTCAGCAGTAGCAGCGGCGTCAAACCCAAAGTTCGAGGAGGACAGTCATGGCCATCACACCGCGGCTGCAGCAGTAGTTCCAGCATTAGGGGCGTTCGCGCCCTTCCTCTCTCCCTCCCTCGTAGCCCACGCTGTGGTTGCTCTCAAGGAAGTCCCCGGAGCCCCCAATACTACGAAGGAGACGCTTCCGCTATTTCTATTCGATGTCAGAGGTCCCAGATGTTTTGTTCCTCCTGCTCTGGCTGCTCTTCTTGCGGTGCTCTGACGAAGTGTAGCCCTTCTCAGCATCGCCGCCGAAGTATACTGGTATACGAACGTGTAAATACTAGTATACGAACGTGTGAAAGCAAGCAGGCAAGCAGGCAAGCAGGCAAGCAGGCAAGCAGGCAAGCAGAAGGAGAAAACCACAGGCGCATGCCGACTGCAGCAGCAGCAGAAAGCTGGGGCACCACTGTCGGCGCACCAGGGTCCGATCAGCACCCTTCTGCGGCCTGTCATTGGCGATTTACACGAGCGTTGGAGAGACGTCGCAGAGGAGGTTGAGGGACTGCTGAACTGGATTGCTCTCCGAGTTCTCCCATCATCATCGAATCCACGACCAGCTTGGGAAACCCTGAACCCTACAAAAGTCGAACCCTGAACGTGAACGGCCTCCACTCCACCCTCCAGCACCAGCACCAGCACCACTGCACCAGCACTACCACCCCTCCCCTTCCATCCACCCCATCCATCCACCTGTACCCCTTCACTGATCACCCATCATCCCCCTCGAAAAGCCCCCCAATCTTGTGCAGGCAGGCTCACAGGACAGGGCTGGGCCGGCTCGGCTTCGTGGGTACAGGTATATGGCTCGTGTAGCACCACCGTCCTCTCAATGTGATATTACCCAATGCTGCGAACCCTCTGACTGTTTTTTGCAATTCTTGAAATTGCCAGTTTCTGCTTGAATCCGACGTGATGGGATACACCCCGAATTGCGACGGTGACCTCGACTTATGATGTGACGATTCCCCTTTTCCCTCAAGCCAAAAACCTCGGATTACTCATCCTTCGCCTCTCCCTCTTCCCCATGATGTCCGCAAGGCCTCAAGTAGGCATCGAGAGACTTCCCGCCCGACGCCTGAGCAACGAACCACGAGAATCAATGAATTGCAAATCCTGTAGAAAGCGGAAGGTTCGAGCATTGGCCTAACAAGATTTTCCGTGTGGCTAAATGTTTTTCCAGATCAAGTGCAACCGACTGCGGCCAACGTGCGAGGCATGCCAGGTCTTCCAATGCCCCTGTATATATGGTGCGTGATCTCTATTCGCGTGGGCCAGAAGCAGAAGCACTGGCGGCGAAATGGTGGTTTCTGGACGGCGCCTGTACTGACTGCTCTCCAGATGCCGTTCCCAAGAAACGAGGCCCCAAGACGGATGTATTAGAGGCATTGCTCAAAAGGGTGGATGGGCTGGAGAAGAAGTTGAAGGACGAGAAGAAACCGAACTCGCCAACCACTGGCAGCGAGGAAAACGGTAACACTTCCGGGCCGGATAAAGCAGCTGTAACAGAAGAGCAAGAACGAGAACCAGAACTGGAGCACGACCGAGAACAAGAACTGCGCGAACAAGAAGTGCGAGAAGTCCGACAGGTCAAACTGCAAATCGACACAGCAAATCAAGCGGCGGGCAATGCAGGTGCCTTGGGACAGGAAACCGCCATCTACTCGCCAACGCCAGTAAAGTCAGTACGAAGCCGTAGCGAGAATCAAAAGGGGGAGCAGAAAGAACTGACTTCGGTCCTCCTTAGTGAACCATCACCGGCCGCACAACACCACGAAAATCTGCTCGACACGTATTTTGCGCGTTGTCATGGCAAACCATACTACATCCTCGACGAACCTTCGACCCGGCAGCGCATCCAGCGTGGCCAGCTCCCGTCGCATCTGCTGTGTGCAATAAATGCAGTCAGTGCAAGGTGGGCAGAGTCCTAAAGTCCTGGAGCGTTGTTGAAACTAAGTGAAACAGATATACACCGCATCCAAACGGATACAATGCGGCGGTCCGGTCAAGCGAGGAATATGCCCTCCGTTCAAGAAGCGAGCTAGACACCGACGACCCCTCCATCGAGAGTTTGCAGAGTCTGCTGCTTCTCGTCATGGCATTCACCGCCGCAGGACGAGGCAAAAAGGCATACATGATGCTGGGTGCGTTGCTTGTCGTCTCCTTCGTCTACCACACACACACTAACTTTGATGATAGTAAGTGCAATGGGTATGGCTGTCGCCTTAGAACTTCACCGCGAATTTGAGCGAAGGAGTGGCTTTACCCCTGTGGAAAAGGAAATGCGCCGACGACTTTTCTGGACCTGTTATGTGATGGACCGGTTCACTACGTGTGGCTCCAAAAGACCATCATTACTAGCCGACAAATCGGTTCTGGTACGACTACCTTCTTGGTCTCCCAGCCTTGGATCCCTCGCCATCGAAGGAGAATTCTTCCAAAACGGATCTAATCTTCAATACCATGGCGGATCAGGGAAGAAATGCCAGGGTAGCAGTGGTATGCTGATTGATATTGTCCGCATCTTGGGCATCACAAATCGATACCTCGCAGCTGGAGGAGTGAAAGGAGACAGTCATTTCCCATGGCACTCACTATCGAATCTCTCAAAAATACGACAAGAACTAGATGTGTGGGCATCTGGAACCCAAGAGGTTTTTTCCTCAGTAGACAATCTTTTTGGGCAACCGGATAGCACAACACTTGTTCTCAGCAAACTTGTTTATCACCTCATTCATTGCTTGATATATCGACCCTTTCTTCCAATTGATCTTGCCGAGCTCGCCGGGACCGGTCAACATCAGTCATGGCAGATTGAGGCCACAAATCTCTGCTTTTTGCATGCAAATGCAATTGCAGAGTTGGGAGAACTAGGTAAGTAGTGTCGTTGTTTTCAATTCCAATCTCTAATCATAAAATAGGTAAACAATCCCCTTCAGTTGAATGGCCAGCCTTTATTGGATATTGTATATGCACAGCTGGAACCGTTCATGTTCACGGATCTCACTATAGAGGAAGCTTCGAGGGAGAAGTTTTCTCTGCATCAGCCGACTTTCTGTCTCGAGAGATGCAACAACTGTCAGAATTACGATACGCTTGGTCCTCGGTACAACACCAGAGAGAGACTTTGCAAACTATATATGGCTGCCACTCGGAACTTGTAAACTCCTTGGCAAGTAATCCCTTACGATACAGTCCCGTATTTCACTTGGAAGATTTTTTCGACCGATATATCGAACTCGGTCAGTCCTTCGACGGAGCCCACATATCTTTCGCCGATATTCTTGTGGATCCGAATCAAGAGACGTACACAGGACATGGCTTATACGACAACCGGATCAACCATGGGGTGTCAGATCGTTCACAGGCAAGCCTACCATCATCAAGGCCGCACCCAAAACGTAAATCTTCGGCTGCAGCTAGAAAGAAGCATATTGATCTAAAAGTTGCACACAGAAACGCTCATCCAGAGACAAATTTCATGTCACCAAGCAGTAGTCTGATCAATGGCATGCACAGCGCAGGGAATCCAGAGAATAGCAGTCCTTCAGATACACGACATCCTCAGCGTCAACAATCCATGCACGACCCTTCTCCCCTAACTCCATATAGCCAGCACCCTTCCATGACACCGACTCTTTCACGAGTGCCCTTTTCTCCTCCATATTCATATAGTTCTACCAACCAACCCGAAAATTTCGACCCTATGTTTGGCGTGCCACAGATAGGCTTCGGATATGGAAATAACGTGCATGTACAAGAGGGTATGACCCCTGGAGGGCGTAGTGCTGGAGAGAGCACTGTCACAGCAGCCACCTCGGAAGAGAAGGATCCATTCCTAAGCCTGCTAGAACAACTAGCGGAAAATGAGCATAGTCGAGGCGGACCGAGCGAGTTGGACTTTTTCTTAAGCGGACAAAATACATGAATTGGGGATACGCAAATAGGATAGGCGCTGGCGTGAAAATGGATTCTGATTCTGGGTACATATGGGATGGTTTTGGGACTTGGACTAATAAAGGAGTCCTGGATTTTTTTTTACAGCCCTTTTGGCGATTCGGAAGGCATGAGAGGAGATGGCTTTGGTTCTTTTTTGTTTTATCTTCTTTTCTATCTGTACATCAATTTTTGGATGGCTATGATTTTAGCGTTTATTTACATATTTCACAGGCGTTTCGAACGATGCACTTGATCGGAAGACAGGCTTAAATTCCTGCATTTTACATTATCGTCTCATGCTCTTAGACTTATACGCTTGTTGTGAACTTATCTTTCTTGTCCCATCCATATGCCGAATTCGCAAACCAAACAGCCGGTGACTCGGCGGCTACGGTCCTATACCTTCGCCTAGGTAGGCCAACAATGGATTGCGACAAAACGAGACCAACATTTTCGGCCTCTTATCCAAAACTTTCATTTGAACTAGGCAGTTGATCTTCCCGGTTGTTTTCCTTGGAAACTATCATATTTAAACATCATCTTATCATATTTAACTTTCGCCCACCGTCCTCGTTGGGTCAAATCACGTTTTTGGGAATTATCCCTCCCCCTGCTCCTGCCGCCTTCCCAATTTGGAATCTTTTGCGAACAGACGTGAGATGTGCTTCGTGCGCATATAGTGCACCCGTTAGCAGAGTGGAATATGTGTGTGATGTGTGTCACTCGAGGTTGTCATTTTCGCCTTTATCCTCGTGCCTTTCTCGCTTTTTGGGGGTGCTTCCGTGATTGTTATTGCAGGCAAAGCGTTTTCTGGGGAAGTATGTGCGATGCATTCGTGTGTACCCCATGTTTAAGTAGTATTTTATGCGATGGATAATTGGGATTGTGAAATGGGGGAGTGACGTGGAGGGTGGGAAATGAAAGGAGAGTCAGAGTTTTTGTGTTTTATCTCCTCGTGGTGGTGGTGCATTGGAAATGAGGGGTACAGCAGGATGGCGGGGTGTGGGATTGAGGTTGAGATTGGGTTGGGACTCATTTGCAATTACGAAAGTGTAACGCCACTGTTCGTTTAATTCATGGGCTTCGGATCTACGGAGTACAGTAGATATGGATGTATTTTTGGGCTGATCTTCTTGATTTCCACGGGTGGCCGCGGTCCGGGAGTGAAAGTTGGGGTTGGGTGGGGGTATGTTTTTACTTTTTCCGAGCTTTTGGGTTGGAATGCGAAGGGAAAGGGACGTTCCATCCCTGGTGATGTTAAGCTTTTTTATCCAATATGGGGAATGCAGCCTATTCAAGAGGGAGAGTACTCGTATTCAATCCCGCCTCTTCTCATTTTGAACTACGGCACATTTGAGTCTATCAAACGTCTCGATGCCTTCACTTCACGTTTCCACATCATACCACAGTCGTATTGAAATACCTCGCATCTTCCCAACTTCAGAACAACGCCGATATGCAATACGGTACATGTATTAAGGTCACTTTTGCCCCAGTGGTTCATGCAATAGGATGGCATGCAGCATCCCCGACAGGGCAGACCCTGTTCAGTGACATATGATGGCTGTAACAGGCGTATTCGTATCGTGGGAAAACGCCACAGTCACGCCACATTGAATTAGGTGGAACAGAACTACTGTACTCGTAGGGACTTTTTGTTGGGTGGCCGTTTTTTGTTGTGGCTGGAGTTTGTGTCGCTTAGGTTTATGCTTCTCTCGCAACGACCGTATTATATATATACAGTATCGGAGCAGCTACTAAACATTCCCTCTTCAGTCAGGGTTTAAACAGGTACACTGTCCTCAGATAAAGGTGTATCTATCATTTTTTCAGAAGAAAGACTCCAAAAACCGACGCCTGAGAAGCTGAAAATAGTAGATACAACAAGGTGTACGCACCAGTTGAGTTAACTCGCTGAGCTGAATGATGAGGCTTATAGTTTGCTACACCTTCATTCGTGAGGGGGTGAGGGTTTCTTTGATCTCTCAGCCTCAAGCCACACTTGGAATCTCGACCTAGTCAATTGGTCTTTCATATTTCACTAGGATGGTTTCTTTGTTTCTCAGCTTCCATTTGTCAAGCATTTATCAAGTTATAGCAAGCTCCATTGGTTTTCAAGTGACCCAACGGGTATAACTACTAGAACTTACAATCGTTCAATATGATCGGGGAAGTTCTAACTCAGTCCATTCCGGACTTGAAAACTCAATTATCTGAACAAGCGACTATCAGTTTTCCACGGGATGCGCAATTTAATACTAAAAGATGGAGTGATTTCGGCAAACCCAATCCAGGGGCTATCATCAACGTAGCGACGGAGGAAGACATCTGCAGCACTGCATATTTCTCTTTCCTTGATCAAAAATCCGAAGGAAGAAATACTTACATTGAATAGATCAAATGGGCCAACAAATACAACATCCCGTTTCTCGCCCAATCCGGTGGCCACGGATTTCATTCCTCTCTCTCCAAACTGTCGAAATCAGGAATCGTAATAAACCTCAATGCGATTTCTAGCATCGTATTCGATAAAGAGGCAAAGACTGTAACTTTGGGTGGTGGGGTTCTGACTGGAGATGCTCTCAATACCGCACACGCGAAAAGAGTCCATATAATGACCGGAGTCTGTAATACAGTTGGTCTAATCCCAGCTATAATCGGTGGTGGTCTTGGTAATATGATGGGCATGTGTGGACTAGGCGTTGACAACATGCTCTCTGCCACTGTCATCACTGCCTCCGGAGAGAAAATCAATGTGAGCAAAGATGAGAACTCTGAGTTGTGGTGGGGACTAAGGGGTGCTGGAGGGAATTTCGGAGTGGTGAGTAGCTTAACCGTCAAGAGTTATGAGCAGGTTAATGGAGGCATCTTTTGTAGTGGGTCGATTGGATTTGTGGGAAAGAGTGTGAATGAAATTGGAGAGATCGCGAGGACCCTTGAGAAGTTTGAGATTGGGAGAAAGATGGCTGTTGGTATCCTTTGGGCAAGAATCCCACCTAGCTTTCAGGTATGTTATAAAGACAGGCAGCTCCATGGCGATGAGTGAAAACTGATGCATATCCTAATAGCCTACCTTCTTCATCCATCTATTTTACGCTGGTCCGGAAGATGAGGCGACGAAGGCTTTCGAGCCTCTTTTCGCTCTTAAACCGACATTTGTGAAGTTCGCCCCTACACCTATAACTGTAAGTATTGTGCACTAGTGGTTCATCCACCATATTTTCGGGATACTGATATTGCTCAAAGTAACAAATGCACCAAGTGACCCCGCAGGTGTCAAAGGTGGGCGAAGACCAACCTGGGGGATCGGACTGAAGCGTTTTGATGGGGCGAGAATCCAAGAAGCGTGGAAAATATGGGAAAATTTCACAGGTGAATGTAAAGGTGCAATGGCAAGTCTTGTCATTGGGGATTGCTACAATCATGATGAAGCGAACGAAGTGGATGAAGGGGATACAGCTTATCCCTGGCGAAAAGTTGGTGTGCATTTGTATGTTCATATTGTAACTGTCGTGGGTAGAGCTTTTACTAATGATAACAGGCTCTTTTCAGGAAATTACCAAGACCCGTCGCTCGATGAGGAGGTCAGCGTCGTTGGAAGGAAGTTCAGAGATTCGCTAAAAGTTGAGGGGGAGAGCTCTTCCGTGTAAGCTTTCCAACTCATACAACCAAACAATGACCCTAACGAATCCCAGATATGTGAATTTCGCTCACGGCGATGAAAAGCTGGAGGAAATATACGGAAATAAAGAGAGAATTGAGAGATTGGGCAAATTGAAGAAGAAGTGGGATCCCGAGCGACGATTTGGATTCACTTTCCCTATTCCACTACCGGTGATCGATTAGAATTGTTATTCCGAGGGAAAAGATTACTTTTGTATTCGTTGGCGAGCAAACCACAAACTACTATTCTTCTAATTCCAAAGCTCTTGCCATTCTCAAAGTGGTATCTTCATCTAACAATTTCAAATAACGATCTTTCCTTTAATTAGTACGAGTCTGGTGCTATACTTTACTTGGCTAAGGACTTACCAGCAGCCAGCCATCTCTCACTGAGACTTTTCAGCATTTTCCGGAGAACCCGCAAAGAGTCCAAACTTGCTTTCGAAGAATCACCAACCCTTATCCTCTCCGTGAATATCGAAGCTGATCTATAAAGCATATGCAAAACAAACGGCGAGACAACATGTAGGTTTCTCGTGCCTTCTGCAGCGGTCAGAGAACCAATGAAAATTGTTGTTTTTTGTAGTAGGTTATCGAGATATATTTGTGCTAACTTCTGTGCCGGTACATTATTGGACTCTTCATCTGGCGGCACTTTGATGCCGCGTTCATAGAGATCCAGCAGCGCACTACAAAGGATCTTGTCAGAAATTCTGCTGTGTTTCATAGGCTTGTGAAAGGAGGATGACCTGGTAATAATAGCCCGGCTTCCATCGTAAAGTTCCACAGAACCGTCTTGCTCAGTCACCATGGTTCTTTGGGTTATGAGAGAGATTTCTTCAATTGTAAATTTTTTATTGTTCTTGGCTTGTTGATCTTGGGGACTGATGTTATTTTGAACTTTTTCTAGGAAGTTGGAAGCTGCAAATGTCTTATCAAATATTGAGAAACTTGGGTCTGGTGAAAGACTATCCTGTGGAACTTGAAGAGTATTGAGTTGTGCGAATGAACGGCACTTGGTCACTGGCGACCAGTCGGAATTTTCGATGGCGATAATCCTATGCAAATGTGAGGATTCTTTCACAAACAGGGAACAACAATGGTACCTATCTAAAATCAAAATACCTTGCCAGAGACGTTTCAGCTCCAACACATACTCCTCTCTGGATTGCCCACGCAAGGACTGAGCTTTTGGGTCTGGGTAGACCCCAAGTGCATCTGCTGCTCTGACCAAGCCACCTATTGAGATGTACGACGTCGGATAAAGTCCATGACCCATCTCAAATACAACTAGTAAAACTCTCGCTTGTAACAAATCCAAGGAGTTCTTGTCAAGAGCATCAAGGAAGCCCAATAATGATTTGCACAGATAATATACACCTTGTGATTCTTTCCAGACTTGCGAGATGGAAGATAAAGGCATAGTTGTTGCGAGAGCCATGGACGCAAGAAGTAGGGTCACTTCAGATGTGGACTCTTCCCAATTGTGAGGCAGACGAACATCGAGATGGGACGATGAGACTATGGGGAACCAGTTATGGATACCTTCTTGATATGAAGCAAGAATGTCTTTCATGGTTTTTCCAGACAACTGTTGTATGATAGCTGTTCTCAGGAAGGCCTCGGAAAATACTGGGACTTTCGAAGAGGAACCGGAAGGTTCAGCAGACCTTGTCCGCGAAGGTCCAGCAGAGGGAGGTGATGCCAAGGATTGCGATATCTGAGTATCGTAAACACATTTTCGACCTAATCTGTTCGGAATTTTCATTCAGTAGGTAGCCCATCACGAATGCAACGACCCATCTGTACCTTTTGCATAGAGTACACACAGGAATTATCTTATCACATTTTCGTTTCTGGGTTTTACACCGTAGACATACTTGTGTTGCATGTGTGCTGTTATTTTGCGATGCCATATTTTGATACTTGATTTGAGGTAATGGAGGTATTCTTGAGCGGGCGGGTGCGGATGCGGGGTTTTGGTCAGATGCGGATGCATGTGCGGGCGGGTATGACTGAGGTCGCTTAGCGACTATTTGCAACACGTGCTTTGCAAGGATTACAGTTCTTGGAGATTGTATTAGCAGGACATGTTGTTTACTGTAGTATGACTCAAATAATACAACAAATATAGTTATGTCAAGTTAGAATAGAGAGAGAACCCTGATCGATAACCGACTTAACTTTATTATAACATAAAAGTTCTTTGTCCAAATTTTCACCAGTCCTATTCTATTCCCTTTGCATTCTCCTGAATTGTTGCCTTTCAAACGTTGGTTTATGTTACCGTTCTCACCGAAATAGTCTCAGTCTTCGTATTATTGGCCAACAGTTTACCACAAGCACTGCATCTCGCATGCTAGTTAGTATGAAACCTTGAGCTCCATGAAGTTCCGCAACAATAATAAAAACAAAGATTGGGATCAGAATTACGAACTCGAGTAATCCTCGCTAAAGTGCGTGCCTAGCATGAGCGTAAGATGCTTTGTCCCTTGATTTTGTCTCAAGACATCCTGTGAAGTTCTGTACAATAGATTCGTCTATTCATGTGTATAACCACGAGTCCCATTCAAAAAGTGTTGTTACCTTTATGTACATAGCTTTGCTAGATTAGTAAACTATCGTTTCTTAGTCTCGTAATACACTTCGTTCCTCCCTTAACACTTCTGAAGTCGAACCCATTGAATCCTCTAACTTAGCGCGAACTGCAGGATTGTTTGTGGTGTTTATTTCAAGAAGTTACACATCAGGGCCAGATAGAGGAGTAGGGAAAGTGATCTGTCAGATTTTTATATCGGGCCATGTGGTTAATGGAGTATAAAGCAGGTCAGTACTACGCAAAGAGAATCGAGAAGCTAGATGGCGTAGCGTGGTGTATGAAGACTGTATTTCTCACAATGAGCTATCGTCAAACTCGCTATCTACAGACCCGAAACTTCTGCACAAAAATGACCAAGTGCAACGAGGCTTTTTTCGATGCGATTACCAAGTGCAACGCCAGTTCATTAAACTAAGGAGATATTATATTCCCTAATGGCGACGCTCTGTACTAACCTGGTTACGAGGCAGAGGTAACTGGCTGCTTTGGGCAGCACCAGTATTGAATGCCAAAACACTATTTCTGCACGCCGTGGGGAACGAGTCGCGACAACTTTACGGCTGTTGCGAAAAATCCTGATATGCAAAAGGTCCTTATTTCAGTAGCTGAGATGGCGACTTTGAACTTGTTGGAATGGACTGGTGTGAAGTCTGAACCCAAGGTGCTTGAAAGGCGCTTTCCTAGAATACCCTAGTATCAACTTAATAGCCCAAAACTCAACATGAGAGATCAGTAGGCTGCTGAGGTAGAAGTATGGTCTATGAAGGCATCCACTAATAATCATCTGACCAAAAATATCGATCGCTTTTCGAGAAAACCTTGAAGAGCCCCCGTCTACTAAGTCTCCACATTTTCTTCGAAAATACCTCTTTTAGCTATATTGAGCCTATAAAACAACACCCACGTGGTGACGGATTCCGTAACGCAATACGAACTACATCAACATCAACTAAATCAGCTTTTAGCTCACGGTTTCCTGACTCACCATGCTTTGTATTCGCGAGCTGATGGGCGAAATGGCTCGTCAAAATAGCAAGCAGGCTTTCGAAACACCTCGTTCGGATAAGGAACCTCAGTCAGGAATATTATAAAGGTCACAGGCTAATTGATGTGGATATATTTATAGTAATCGAGAACAAGTCAAGCATAGAGCCAGCGAAGCAGCGCAGAACCATTCAGCGAAACCAGGCTCGCAGCCGCTTCCATATCCCTCTGAAACGTAACTACGGGACAATCTAGAACACGATGGGAAATGCAGAGTTGGTATAAGGTAGTATGAATACAGCGCCGAATTTGTAGATAGTTTGTAAGAATACTGTTCTAAAAGCTCTCGCACAACTAAAAGATTTAGTTATATAAACAGTTTAGAATCCGGGAATCATTGTATTTAACTTTTGCTTACACTGCGTATACAAAGACGAGGAAGTCACTTGTGCCAGGCAGTTAGTGTAATACTTCTTCATAGTTACACAAAGTACTCACCAGGTTTATAAAAAGTGAACAAACCAGAGCGTACTACCTATAGTCAAACAAAGTACTGTAAGTGGAGTTCAGGCCGCCTCACAGGACGTGATATATAAATAACATGACGTCGAAAAATCTTCATAGCGAAACAAAATCAAAAATAGACGCGAAGGATATTCATCAGCTTCGACAAAGACTTTAGAAAAGCACGGTTGTGTTTATATTACAGCCAGGTATTATTGTAGAGTACCTATGGTCGCGTGTAAAACTAAAGTCGCGACAACAGTATACTATAAGAAACTTAGGGGCGAAATCTTACCTGAACTACAAGTATTCTGAGTAGAGAGTGTAACTTTAGGTGATAGAAGGCTATAAAAAACACAGTAGCACGAGCACAACCCTACTTACTGTATAAGTCAAACCCAGGTTATATACTTTAGCCGCGACTTTTGAAGAGAGACTAGACTGTAGGTAGCCGTCCTCGCGTACTGGCAAAGGGTCTTGGAAAATGAGAAGCGTTGACCAGCCAGAAAGACATGTACACCAAAGCCTAGAGAGAAAAAAACGCTCACCGTCTAGTAATCACCAAGTGGGAAGAAGTAGTCCCCGCCCTCGACGCTAAGAACGTCGTCCTCATCCCCTCTTGCGTGTGTTAGGGGGATTTGATTTTGGGGGATGGGGATGGGGATGTGAGTGATGGAGTGATGAAGTGATGAAGTGATGAAATGATGAAATGATGAAGTGATGAAATGATGAAGTGATGAAGTGATGAAGTGATGAAGTGATGAAGTGATGAAATGATGAAGTGATGAAGTGATGAAATGATGAAGTGATGAAATGATGAAGTGATGAAATGATGAAGTGATGAAGTGATGAAGTGATGAAGTGATGAAATGATCAAGTGATGAAGTGATGAAGTGATGAAGTAATAGAGTAATAGAGTCATAAAGTAATGCAGTAATAGAGTAATAGAGTGATGAAGTAATGAAGTAATAAAGTAATAAAGTAATAAAGTAATAAAGTAATGAACCAGAGATTACAGCCAGTCGAAAACTCTGCCACTAATTTTACTCCCAGTCGTCACTGTGGCTAAGTAGATACAGTTTATCATATTAGTACACACCCACCAAATAGTGACGGAAGACGTACTCGAGTACAGGCGGAGACAATAGCGGCGGAAAAAAGTGGCATACCGACTTCTGCACTACCTTCCTAGACAAGTAACACGCAAGCGCACTAGGTATGAGATGACGTGGCGTACAAACTACAGTATTTGCTAGTTCATTTTCACTTCACAGAGAAGTGGTACTTGGTCTAGTTTGAAGAGCAGGGGTAGACAGGTTAGAACAAGCGCTTTTCAAGTGGGATTATTAGAGTTTGATTTGGTAACGGATTTTATACTCAAGCTCTCCCACAATCAAAACTGCAACTTCTGCGATTAGGCAGTCATCGGGACTCGATGAACCGATGGAGGTGGAATGTCAAAGGTAAAAGTTACATACAGATGTCCTTTTCTAGCACGTGAAATCAAAATCCATAGCCAAAATCACCTCATTCGTTGTACATTAAATATCATCGATTAACAAGGTAGCACTTTGTACTACCAGCTTTCTGCAAGCAACAAACATACCCCTGGTTTAGAAGCAATTGGATTCCCATGCCTTTCGCTTTCCAGTACACCACCCGAACCTCCCAGTAGCCAAATGTAATCCTAAAAAGCAAGCCCATTGACAGGCAAAAATATCCAGAATCAACCGAAAGAAGTACTCCATACGCTTGCATACATCCGTATCGTACAAGTCTCCCAAATGAACACCATATTGCCGTATTTGTGAGGCCAGTTTTTGCTTCGCCCTACGTTCCTTATGTGAAAAGTTTGTTTTTTATGTCCTTGACGTTGAGGAAAGTGTACTAACGTCAAATTAGCAATATTCGCAGTACAGCGTTTTATTTTACCAGAGCAGAAGAGGCAAAGGGGAAACAGAGTCAAGGAAGAAAGCGGCTAGGGGACGGGATTCGGGATATTTACCTCTGTCAAGCGTGGGTTTCTATCATCTATGCCGAGGGTGACGGACAATAAGTTGGGCTCAGTCCAAGACGGTCGGAAACCTCTATTCTCCATGCTCTCCCACCAATCCATAAATATTGGGAGTGTAATGCCTTGTGCTGAGAAGAGATGCAGTTCCATGAGCATTTGTCCGATAGGCATTTCTGTTCCTACATCTAGGGTATACGCATTCAGCGAGGAAAGAACGTTAAATTCAGCGTACTCGATATCTATTTTGAGAATGTCGCTGGAAGAGAAAAATAGTTAGTAGGCATTCGGGATTTAAGCCTAGAACAAAAGGTGGAGCAACCTACATGTAGTCATGGCCATTCGCCTTCATCAAGTCTTGTATCGAATACGATGGTGGTGAGGTCTTGGGATCTGTGGTGGCACTGATCGCAGCGCGAAGGAAGTGGGTTCTCGGAAGGTATTCGGGCTGAAGCTGGGGTCCAAATTCGTCGACTGAGTAGTCGTATCCCCAAATCTCACATTTCGTTCTTTCCAGAATTTCTTGTTCTGTGGGATTCTGTCAATGGGGGTTCCGAAGAACTTAAAGGTGTTGGAACGTACCAAAGCTTGATTCATTTTGTATACCTAGGCACTATCATTAAAGTGGCTCTTATTTCCAGTTTGTGTTCGCAGATGACATACCAAAGGAGTAGATGATACATGGTCTGTCGGTCTTCTCGTAGCGACTCATGCCACATACCCATTTCCCTCCATCTCCCATTGTGCCGATTCGCTCAACCTCCCATGGACAGTTGTAGCTACGCTTGTCATCAGCCAGTCTCTTCAGTGTAGAGATTATATATGCTTCCATACCTAGCAGGCACCAGATCCCAGACCGTTACCGGTGTCGTGAAGTAGGCTGCAAAAGGTCAGTTGGTACTTTCTCGCTATCTCCGTGGGGGTGTTCTCGTACTTGCGCTGTCTTTGGCAGGGAAACTGTGGCAGATACCGTTAGCCTTTGACGTTATACGAACGACAGGATGTCGAGTCCACCAGATAACTTACAACTCCAGGTCTGGAAAGCGTTCTCGGTAAGCGTGTCTTTGAGTCACCGTCTTCCGCCATAACTTCTCACTCGTCTCCATCATGGACTTGATATTCCCCCTTCCAAGAGAACCCGAGATTCTGCTTGTGAAATCGGCCGCGGATTTTGGAACCCAGGTCGGCAAATTGCCGCGGTTGGAATCAATCTGGCCAAAGATCACGATCAAGAAGAGGGCAGCCGCGCCCATGATGGCGAATTGTGCTGGTTTGGATCGCATTTTGTAGAGACTCGAGAATGCAAATGTGCGTGATGGCGAAGCAGAAGGTGTTTGGGGTGGAGTAAGGGGTCTGAGTTGAGTTCGACGGAAGGTTGACAAATTAACCAAGCAGAAGGAGGAGAGTGAATGAAAAGTCAAATCAATCGCGGGGTGAATGGCAGTCCAACTTTCTTAATACTGTACTGCTGCAGCAGCAGCAGCAGCAGCAGCCAAAGGGACCAACTAAACTAGCTAAGGTCCCTTTTTGGGACGGCCCCTGATCCACATTTAGCAATCAGTGCTTGCTTTTGATGACACATATACCAACACTCAACCTCCATGGATTGCCGGTTACTCAACGTAACTACCAAGTTATACTTCTCGTGCATGTCCGTGTAAGCATGGGAGTCCTGTGCTTCTAGATGTGACATGATTCGCATGAATGCCACCACCACCACCTTCAGATGCCGACTCGGGTGACGAGCGTCTTTCTCTGACAGGGCCAAGTACCAATGCGTCCGTCGCTGCTGAGCCTCAGCCGATGCGAAGGGGAGCTCGATTACTGGACGCCATCCATGTTTGCACTGGACGCCATGATTGCTTTTGGAGGAACGAAAGCACATCGACAACACCTCCATAATGTATTCGAGTGGTGATTCAGCAAAGGGGCTGCATATCCAGAGTAGCGCCCCATTGCTCCAAGAGTTTGGAAGCCAAAATGCGAGGCGGTTGATGACACTTGGAAAGAGGTGATGAGGTCGAGAAATGGAAAGAGCCGAGGCCCGCTGCCACTATATATCACGTGATTATTACTCATTCTTCTTCTATTAACACGCGACCTTCTGTGGCTTCCTTATCGTTACGTTGTTATGGAACAATGCTGGGATACTACAATGATTCATCACTGCTAGTGAGAGTAGCGCGTATGTGTCCACTAGGATCTTCACATTATAGTCACGTGATTATTCCCTCTTTCCCAACCTTGAACGTCGGGAGGTTGCAGGTGCAAGCTATCTCCGGAGGTTAGGCACGGAGTACTTCTCCAAAGTATTGTGTACAACCCGGCACCCCCCTTCCGCACCCCCTTCGCCATTTACCTCCAACAAGTTCGTCAAACACGATACTGTACTATAATATTTCTGCATCAACAATTCATCTCAAAAAAGAAAGGTTACAACATCAGGCTCGTCTTTTCCTTAGGGTCGGCCGAAGAAGAGGGCTGCAGTTTCGCGCATATGGTGATTCCATTGAGGTCCGACTCACACTAATGTACGCCGAGCTCTTTTCCAGAATTGAAACGGTCCTAATGCCATCTTTCTTCTTCACCGGATTCGCTGTATGCGAAGTACTGTGTTCTGTACCCACGTTCCTCCCACCCGTTCTGGCAACCCTTACCAACATGGAACGCCACCAGGGTCTCACCCAGCAATTTTTTAGCGGCGAAGTCAAACTCCAATACTCGTACAGTACAAGAATACTTGTGTGCTCCGGATTGTTCGAGAATAATAATTTACACGATGAATCGAGGTCAACTTAGTAAAAGATCGGGTCCCATACTCAATCTGCAGGTTGTTTACTAGAGTCATGTGGGAGATTGTACTGACATTCAGATACGACATATGAAGTACAGAATACAGATTATAATAGTTAGTGCGTCTTTCCATAGCGCTGGCGCTTGTGACAGCGCGGCCGGAAGGCTACTATGGGACACTCCAATCGGGGATTTTGGTGCTAAAAGTCCACCTTATCTTTTAGCATTTGAAAACAGGTCAGTAAAACAGCAACTTGGACGAATTTTAGAGCGCTAGCTTATTATCTGTCAAGTATCATCCGACGAAACGTAGTTATCATCAACTATCCATCTCATTGTAGTGTGGGGGTCGTCCATTCTCGCTAAAGTAGCTCCGCATCTTTTGTCTTTTAAAATAAAGTAACAAGTTAACGCTCATCAGATTCTCGTACCTAATGAGATCATCCTCTCTCAATTACGACAACGATTACTTTAGTAGTTCTTAGAAAATCACTCTTAGCAAGAGAAAGATATATACGGCAAATTCGGCACGCATCAGGGTCTGTCTGATCTCCTACTCACCACTACTTGGCAGACCATACAACCAACCGAGAAACGTGAACAACAGCTTTTTCACCTGAAAACTTCCTTGGGAGAGAATCTCAAAACAGCATCTCAGCTTTCAATTGCATCTCTCAGTTACGATGTCGTTTACCAAACTGGCAATATGTCTAGTATGGATCAAATCTGGTGAAGGAGATTGTTCTCAGACATTACCTTCACGTATGTCCAACATTTTTTGAAAACTTGCTTACGCTTGCTTCAGCTACGGAATGCCTATCAGACACTCCTATCAAAGTGAAAGCCCGAAAACCCGAAAAAGCAACTAAAAGTGCCTTGGAATACGTGATTTTTCGTAACTCCCATCCTGTTAGACTCTTACCTATCTACCCCATTTATACTCCTTAGCTTAGATTCCAAGTCCCTTACTAACCTATTACTACTTGTCTACCTACTACTCCTGCTGCCGGCCTGTCAAGGAGTCAGATCAGGTGACCTGCGTTCATTCATGAAGCTATTCACAATTATGGATAAACCAGCACAGACCAGTGTCAACCGATTTAAAAGATAGATCTCCTTTAGAATCTCTTCTCTCCCTGTAATCAATCTATTCAACCAAGTCGCAATTGTCCTCGACTTGCACTTGTACCGTGACATTGATTACCGCACACATAATCGCGATCTAACTTGTCCTCGACGTCGATCACGATTCCCACCACAACCTTACACCAACCACCGCTA